TATATATATATATATATATATATATATATATATATATATATATATATATATTTATATATGTATATGGTCAGTATCCAAGTCGATAAGCTTTGCACGGTTATCGACTCGGATGACGATCCCAACTTTCTTATAGTTCCATCAAAAATTGAACTAAAGCTATGTATAAACATTTCATTAGGGCACCGTTTCCCGCCGTTGTGAAGAGTAAGTGCACGATCACACACTTTTGGCCGTTGCGCTTAGATGCCGGGTGTAGAGCATAGTGTCTTAGGACACCAGTCGTTACCTAAAACGTACTACCATCCCCCCTCGATCGGTCTTCGCGGAATACTTAAACTATCACTTTTATGCCACGCGAATCCCAATTCAAATTTCCCACCATCTGTCGCGGCGGGTTCACTGGGTTATCGTCGAACAGTGAACGGGTTAGCACCTGGATGAATCGTCGCCGGATCTCTCCACGTTTTCGACCGAAGTGAATCTGTGTAATATCCCGTCCCGTTATCCCCATCCTTCTCCTCCCTGTCCTTCATCTATCGAGGCCCAACACGGAGGGCAAACGTGAACAACGCAAAATGAAAAAAGAAAACAGAAAATGAACTTTTGTCTAAATTGGAATCGAATAAACCCGCGGAGAGTCCGACGGCGGTCGCTATCTACAATAATTTTTCAACAGCGCTATGGCGTTATGCGGGTTAAGACCTGGAAGCAGGATGATTGTAGAATGGCTTTTGAGACTGACCGGACGCCGGGTACATTTGGTTACCCGACGGTGGTGGCGTAGTCGAGGAGAACTTCGAGATCGACACTGCGGTGGTAGTTGGCGGAATAAATTGCGGAGGATACGGGTTCGATCCTGGCGGAGCCTGCGAAGCTTGCGGCACCAGAAACTGTTGCTGCGGTTGTTGTTTGTTGCTCGACGCTTGTGCGTTGGCGTAGACTGGCTGCGGTGCGTTCTGAGGAACTGTGAACGTTGGATACTGAACGGGACAAGGCTTCGCTTGGAATTGGGGGTAGTGGATGGACGCGGAACCAGGGGGAGGAATGTAGGGTTGAGGAGGTAGCTGAGGTGGTACTGGGTAGCCTGGCGGAGTATTCGAAACGGTTGGATGTGGAGGAGATGATTTGCGGGCTTTCAGTATCGCCTCTGCTGTTAAACCTGCAATTGGTTGGATTTAGAGACGTATAGACCGTGAGGGATCAGGCTAGGATGTACTATATTTACAAAGAATAATTGAGCGTATTCTTTTTCTTTTTTGTATAATAATAAGGAAGGTTTTAAATAATTAACCAAAATGAAACTAAGAAATAAATTTAATGAAAATAAATGCTTAAGACAGATTATTATCTTACCATGCTTGCGAGCTCTTTCTTCCTCGTCGTCGCTCAAGAATAACCCAAATTCTCGTTTCAATCTCTCGGTGAGGTTCTCCCGTTGGCGTTCGACTAGAGTCGGAGCGGCAGACCAGCCGATGGTACCTTCTTCGCCCCCTGAAGAAATGGAACGAGATAGTTACAGTAAATCGAATGAATTTATAATTTGAAAATTTGCTTCCGAAGCCTGTACCGTGATTCAAACTTTTTACTAACCGTTACCTTTCTTCTCTTCACCTTCCGCATTATTGAAGAGCGGTAATGCGGTGAGTCCAGGTAGGTCGAGGGAAAGAGAAGGTATCTTCGATGCTTCCTCATCTGAACTAAGCGACGAAGTGCCACTACTTGCGCTGTCTGATCTACCTCTCGCACTTCCCTTGTCTGTGGTAGACGCGTCGGTAGGTGACGGTTCGGGATCTGGTGGGGTGCCCGATGATTGCTGTTTACGTTTCCGATATTCTGATATGGATAACTGAAACAATGAAATTATTATTATTGGTCGTTCGAATCAATAATAATATTTGTAAACAGAATTTGAATAATGAAGTTATTTTAATTGTACCACTAAACTAACCTTTCGTTTAACTGGAGGAATTGCATCAGGTTTAAATGCAGGTGCAGGCATACTATTGGGAACAACTGTTCTGGGGTCCTTCAGTCGTTTTACTTCTTTGTGTGGAGCAGCTTCTTCCTCTTTAACCGGAATCTCCTCAATATGTACCTCCTGGGGAACAGTCCTAAGGGATGTATCTGGGACGTCTACACTCTGCTCGGATGTCTCGGATTTCGTTTCAATGAACGTGGTACTGTTTTCATCAACCGTTTCCTCTTTCACCTCTTCCGGCGCCAGATCATCCAACTTCGCTTCCAGCAATTCCCTCAACGCCGTGGACAACATGGATTTCTGTTCCCCGTTTTTGGACCCATCCGAAGACTCTATGTCGATGGTGGATTCAATGATGGCTGCTTCGAAGTTCAATTGGCTCTTCGAAGCACTTGCCTCTGTTTTCTTCCGGATACGTTCGCTCAACGGTGGAATGGAATGAAATATCTTAGGTGGTTCGGCGATGGACTCCGCGTCCATGTTGGACGATGTGGACTCGAATATGGACTCCTCCGAGGAGGCAACGAATACGGACGGCTGTTCCGGCTTTTGAGATTCTTCAGTTTGTTCTACGTCTTTCATCTCGTGTTCGATAATGTCCTCCTGATCCACTTTGTTTTCAAATTCCTTGAACATCCTTTCTTCGTGATCTATGCTAAAGGATTTGAACGACGTTTCATATTTCACGTCCTCTAGATCCTTGTCCTCAGATTCGGAGTCTTCCTTGGAGCTCTCCATCAAACCCTCTATACCGTCCATACTTTTGTCTTTCTCTGAACTGGTGTCTACCTTCTCCTTGTAGTCATTCCCATCATCCCCGGTGATCTTCTTCATCTGAGCCTCAACGTCGAATTCGTCGATGGACATATTATCGTCAGACTTCACCTCGCACCTTATGCTGTCTTGCTTTCTGTCTTCGTCGTCACACTTTTCACTCTCTATTTCGTTTATGGTACCACCAAACTCTAACCTCATCTCGTCCACTCGCTGCTTCAATATGGCATCGGATTCCATGGCGTCGATGGGGGAACTGAGGTCCTCCATCTCCGTGTCCCCCTCTTCATTTTGATCCACTATTTCAACAGTGCCTTTCTCCATGTCCACAACTTCTTGTTTAATAACGTGCTCCTTCTTAATCCTGTCCCTTTGGTAATCTATTTCGTTCTTGACTAAACGTAATTCTTCCTTGATTGGCTTCAAATCTAACTGCTCTGGAGGCTCGCAGTACATTTCTTCCTCCTTCGGCTCCACTTTCAGCTCGATACTCTTTTCTTTCACCAATGAATCCATCGGCACGATTTCAACAGTCTCTTCGGTCTTCAGAGTTTTCATGTGAAAATTTTGAGGCGGTATCTCAATGCACAATTTCTGTCGCAACTTCTCTTCCGGAGGTTCTTCCTGTTTTATGGATTCCGTGGAATCTAGATGTCTTTCATCTGTATGTTCCATCATAGGTGACTGAAGGTGTTCAATATAGTCATCCTGAAAAAAAATATGGTTTAATAGTTAAAATATTGTAAAAATAAGTAAAGCAATACATATCGCCTGTATAAAATAATACGTACTTCTGTCGGGCAGAGAGATCTAGCATTGGGAACGGCTTCGGGATGAAGCATAGTTGGCGTCGTGGGTGGTGTGTAATTGTCTGATGACAAGCTTTCTCTCGCTATTCGCCTCTTTTTCGGCGGAGCTACCATCTCACTGGCTGGCGGACTTTCCGGTCTACTATTCGGCGAATCACACTCCTCAGAAATAGCTTGCCGCAGCCACCTCTTCTTAGCAGAGCCCGACGAGACAGGACACACCGTGTTACCAGTGATTGCTTGTTTGCGTTGCGGTGGCGAATCGCAAATACCAGAGACGGAATTGGCTGCTTGTACCAAAGTAGCTAGACTTTTGGCCGCATAACTCTGACTCAGGAACTCCGCGGACGAATCTGCGGGCAATGAGAAATCCGTCGACCTGCAAAGCGGATTGATGGAATTGGGGAGAGGTGCTGAGGGCAATGCTGGCAATGGGGACACTTGAGGTACGTTGGCTTGAGGTGGATCAGGCGACTCCTTTAACCACTCGTTCATTAGGACCTTCTTAGTCTTTGGGAATTTGAAGCCAGGTGCTAATGGACCAACCGCCGCTGCGACCAGCAAGCAAGCTGATGAAAGAGGAGTAGGTGGAGTAGAACTTTGAGAACTACTGCTCGCTCCGCTGTCGCATGTTGGACTCTTCACAGGGGTTGGTTGTTGCAGTGGAGGAGAACTAGGTCCAGGCGCGTTAGAATTCGCTAAAGCCAACAATAAGCCGGCAGCTGTTGGTATTCCTTGATGCCCGGATCCCGTGTTCATATTATCATTCGTGTTCTTGCCTGGAGTATGTAAATGGGATGAATAAGGTGCGTCGCGGCTTTGCGAGTGGTTCTGACTCGACAATGGTGGTGACTGCATGGAGTTGCTCTCTTCTCCAGACGAGACGTCTGAATCCGCGGAATTTAGCCTTGATCTCCGACTACCGCTTTGCGACTGGGACGAAGTTCTGGTTCTACCTTTCCTCTTCTTTCGTCTCAATGGCCTCTCGGAACTTTGTTGTTTCTGTTTCGATGTTATCGTTGTGGTTGGATTGTCCTCGTTGTCGCTATGCGTACTACCGGATTCCTTTCTTTGCGCATTCCTGGCCTGAACCTCTTGCTTCCTTTGCTCCGCCTTCTCCAATCGTTCGAACGCTTTCATAATGGCCTCCATTTTCCTTTCTTCCCTAGTCATCTTCTTCTTGTCCTTCTTGGTTTCCGGAGCTGTGACTTGAGTCAAATTTGGTGACGTTTGTGGTTGTTGTACAATGGTTGCTGGTGGTTCCTCTTTAGGCGTCTGCCGAGTCACAGTCGTCATGGTGGGTGTAATTGTCCTCCTAGCTGGCGCCGGGGACACTGCCGCTGGTGTCGTCACAGGCGGTGGTGTAGGTTGCGTGACACTGGTACTAGGCATTGCTGTAGAGGAATCACTGTCCTCACACACCGTATTTCGCCTGCCCCTCCGTCTCCTTTCACGACCACTGAAAGTAAATATAACAGGTTCAATTATAAAATCTCATTTCGATTCATTAAAAATAAGAAAGAAAGAACAACTTGTTTTTTTCTTATATTTTGAAGCTCTTGGAAAGCGTTTAGAATACTTACTCGGCATTTTCAGCTAACGATCCGTTACTTCCTCTTCTACTCAACTGGTTCACCGAAGCTATTTGACACTCTCTTGGATTGTTACACGCGCAAACGATAGGCACCATAGGCCCGTTCGGATTCGGCGAAAGCAACAGGTCGTGCTGCTCGTGTCTGATCGTGATCTCGGCATTCTTCTCGATTGCGGTGGTGGTCACGATATACAAATGCAACGTTCCTTTCTCTATACAGTGCTTCACTTCCGCGTTAGGCTTACAACTACGCCGCACGAATCGAGCATCGTTCCCATACGTTCTCGTATCCACGCACACTTCCGTACCGTCACGTGGCAACCGATAAAAGAATACGAAAGGGCCCGGCCTTTGCGTGTGTTGCCTTCCTTGTGGATGCGACGGTCGATGTTGAGTACTCAACATGTACTTCCCCCTTAGCTCAACGACCGGTGTATTCGGCGGTAGGTACATTGTTGCCACCAGAAACTACGAAAAATTAAAAAGAAAAAATGTATCATTTTTTAATTATCAATTGCTATTTAAATTCAAATTACTAAAGAAATTATTACATTAAAGCATGTCTACTTACCCTAACGTTATTACTGTGTACGTTTAGGCGGCATTTTCCAGAGGCGATAACGTTCATGTTGCTTTGCCTGAGATCACTATGCGTGCCGTTCACTTTAATAGAGGATATCCTAGCCCTTAATTCTGGACTATAGTGATTCGTGACTGCCTCCTCGTACCGCTCGATCCACTGTCGAAGAGGCGCCACGTTTGAGGAGCTCCATGAGTCCTGCGTTTCCTCTTCTTTGTCTTCGAGACTCATTCGTCTTTTCGGTTTACGTTTACCCGGACCCCGTTTCGTTGCCTCTTTCTTACGTACAGCGCTAGATTGTCTCGGATGCGAATCTCTCCTCTGCCTTTTCGCTACGTTATTATTATTATTGTTATTGTTGTTCAGACGCCTCACTTGCGACGGCGGATCAGACTTTCGCCTGGGGACCTGCTGTGGTTGCTGTTGCTGTGGCAACGTTCGTTTCTTCGGGACCGCATTCACACCGACATCGGTGTCCGCCGAACTGGTAGACGATGTGTCCGACGACGTATCCGAGTTCAACAATTCCTCGCGTTTACGCATCTGTAATGCGCGCGCTCTTTGTCTGTCTACTCGTCGCGGCCGACAGATCTCGCAAAGGTACTCGTCAGGAATGTTAGAACGATCTATGCCCATGCAATCTACGTGTTGCCACACCCTGAAGGAATATATTCTCATGATGCACATGGAAAACGTTGCGTGAGTATGGTAAATCTTAGTACAGTGTAAGAAGTACTCACAGACATCGGTCGCAACAGATCATGTACCCATCGTCGTGTTCGAAATCACTGAAATAGAATACAATTCATCTGAAATGTCTGTTCTAATCTAGTTCAATTAGGTCGATGAACAATTATGAATAATACTTACCATATACATCTAGTAACACTATCTTCGTCATCTCCCTCTCCCTCAGGAGCAGTTTCGGTTTCTTCGCCTTCCGGCTCTGCCTCTCTGCCAGCCTCGCTACTAATAGCGCTAGCTGCGTCGTCTTCAACATTGCTGCCGCTCACAACTGTAATCAACGATACTGTGAACACCTGTTGCGACACACCTCAATAAGCAATTATAATTTATGTATACCTTGTCCATACATGTAGGGGTGCTGAGAAGTTGCTGCAGAACTTCCAGCACCATTGATGGCCTGTTGCTTCGGATGAGGCGGTGGTGACGGAGGTGAAGGCGACCGCGGTGGCGGCGCCACGTAATTATGATCCTGTAGAACAAACTGCAAACACTGTAACAAAGAATGTATCACTCGCATATCGAGTTCACATCCGCTGTAACTGGCATGTCATTGGGACAGTACAGTACATAGGTTACCTCGTAGGGATGAGGCATTCTTCTAACTGGAGATTTAGGTGCTGCTTCTTGATGATCATCTTCTTCAGGTACACACGATTCGGGTTCGATTCTAAGGATAAGATAACAGGTCAATTATCCCGCAAGTTATTGAAGGAATTTATCGTAATGCGTTCCACAATACTAACTTGTTCTCGACGTCTTTGCGAGGTTCGGTACTGGTTACTGGTAGCAAGGTTTTTATTTGACCGGACTGCTGCCGGACTTGCTGAGGAAATTGAGATGTCATGACAAGCTGTTTCTGCTGGATGGTTTGCTGTTGTATCTTGATTGGCTGGTTCTTGTGCATCAACATATTGGGTGTAACGGATTGTTGAGGGAGCAGTGTTTTGATACTCGTCTTTTGGGGGACTGCAGTGCTAGGCCCTTGACCCTTTACTGCCGTCACGTTTGTATTTAACGAGGTCTTGATACCAGTCACTTTTTGCTGATGGTTTCTCTGCGCGGATTTCTGAGGCGGTATGGTTTTAATGCATCCAGGTTGCTTCTGGGCGTTCTGTGGGCCTATCACGTTCTGCTGCTGCTGGATGATTTTCACAGGTTGAGAATTGGCATTCCTTTGCAACGGTTGCTGAATCGCATTTTGTGGGGTGTTTGATGTTTTAACAGCATTCACTACTTTCTGCGGCACGTTCTTCAAACTCCCTTGCTGTAAACACTGCGCCTGATTTTTTGGTACACCCACTCTCATCACCATCTGTTGTTGCTGTTGTACCTTGGAATTCACTACCTGAGTGCGTTGATTATTTGGCATAGTAGCGATGGCTGTAACCTTTTGATGCACGTTTGTAATACTGTGACTCCTCTGTACCTGTTGATTCAAGTTTCCTTGCTGTTGCTTGTTAGTGATCTGTTGCTGTTGAGATTGAGAGGTTTGCTGAAGCAGTTGCTGCTGCAGCTGAGGCGAAGACTGCACGTGTACTTGTTGCGGCTGTGGCTGCGATATCACCTGCTGTTGTTTGCTCACAGTCAGCAGGTTTGCGTTCTGCTGCATCTTGGTGATATTGGGGACACTATTACTCTTACATACATTCGTTAACGATTGCACTCTATTGGAATTGACTGCTGCCACTGTTGGAGACTTTTGTTGTCCAGTTGAGTGAGAAGTTCTCTGAGAGGACTGAACCTGTTGCACATGTTTCTGAACCTGCACTGGCTGCTGCTGACCCTGCACTTGTCCTAGCATTTGCGCCTTCTGTATACCAGCTACAGAATTGCTAGATTTTTGTACATTATTCACAGTGCTTGGCTGCTGCTGCCTGGGAATGGTCAGGTTCTTCTGTTGTTGACCCTGCAACTTCTGTAACCCTGCTTGCTGATTACCAGTTACCTGTTGTGCTTTATGATTTGGATGGCTGGCTAGTATCTGGGCTGATACTTTCTGACTGTTGTAAACATGCTGCGCCACTTTTTGTGTGTTACTGGCATTTGCTTGTGCTTTTTGGAGATTCGCATTACTTCCCTGCTGTTGGCCTCTTTGTACAGTGGAGTTGTTTACTACCTGGTTCACTGTGAACTGATTTGTTGTGGCTGGCATGGACACAGTCTGTCCCTTTTGCACCGTTTGTATCCTAGGCAAAGAATTCCTCTGCACAGCAACAGCCTGAGTGGCGTTCACTGTCTTCACTTTCTGCAAATTAACGGTTTGAGACTGGCCAACGAGATTCTGCGCTTTAACGTGTATCCTTTGAATATTTGGCACTGAGGTGGCTGTGCTGATTGCCTTTACCGCATTACTGGTAACCAGTTGCTGTGCAGGGACCTGTTGCTGGGTCTTCTGATGCACATTGCCTTGTAACCCAGACACACTGGTCCCTGTCAGCTGTTGTTGCTGCTTACCATCAACTACCTGACTCCTACCATGTTGTTGTTTATTCTGCACAGAGGACGCATACTGCAAAGGGTACACATGCGTTACTCCATTGCCCGCTGATGATAAGGACTGCGAGTTTACCGGCACGTGAGTCACGTGAGCCGTAGTGTTCAGTGTTTGATGGCTGGTGGATGGCAACTTTTGCGAAATCACACGGGTAGTTAATACCTGGGTGGTGTTCGTTTGGGAGCCTGCGAGCCTCTGTACCTCTCTGGCAGCTTTCGCTACCGGATAAGTGACGTTCACTGATTTAACTGTGGTGAAGGATATCACGTGGCCAGTTGGGATTTCCGATGTGGCCTCCAAACACTGAATGATCTGAGATTTTCCAGCATCGTCGGTACCAACCACTACCTGGTTCGGCGTTTCCTGGCCAAGCAAGGTAGTGGCTGGTTGACTACCGTTCTTTTTCTCCACAGGCGTTTCTACTGTGCCCAGCTGTAGAACGAAGCTCATGGTGGTTTCAGCGGTCTGCGGAAAGTTGTCGACGCATTTCGATGTGACGCCATCATTCTCGCTGGCATCGGTACGATCGGCTGGGGACACCGGGGGAGGTGGGCCAGACCCTGGGGACAATTGCTCCCCACCCCCACCTGTTCCACCCCCCGATAACTTGATTACCGACGGGGTCGACGTTTTGGAGGCCTTTCGATCACGCCAACTGGAAACCCGTGCGAGTTAGGATCGAATGGCTATCCTCAGCCAACAGCTTCGCCGTGTACCGCGCTCTTCGATTCCGCTATTTGAGGATCCTGAACCATAGGCTGCAACAGACGGATGAAATAGCTGGTCAGTTTAACTGTTTCAATTTCACCTAGCATATTTAACAGTAGTTTCATTGTTTTTATCATTTTCAGTCTAATTAACCCTTTGCGCTCGGAAATCTTTCACTAGAAATATTCAACAGTTTCCAATGAATTATAGACGAAATCCTTTAAAACGAATTGAATGACGGGATATACATAAGTTAAGAAAAAAAATTATTATTTCAATATCTCACATATTCATGGATTATAAAAAGCTTAATATTATATGTAAGACTTTATGATTTTGTTATATCAAATCGTATGGTGACTGACATCTCTCAAGTGCAAAGGGTTAAAAATTCTTCGTCATCTCGCATACATTTATTTGTACCCTTATGTGCCTGTGTATGTATCGGAAATAAGATCTGAATATTTTTGCCTATATTTTAATATACGTACACGTACAGAACAGTTACATGACGATATATAAAAAATTATTATCGTTAAAAGATAATTTATTATAATTATTATCACTGAAAATATTACAGATACTTTTTCAGAAAATCTCCTAACCTAAATAAAAAATAAAAAATGATTACAAGATTGAATGGAATCGAACTAAAAACTTAACTCGTCCTAGTTGGTTGGACGGTTAACATCATGCTACCAACGTTGCCCAACCTGCAATAAGCATTAACTATTCAGTGGCCGTGGCGTGGCAGTGCAATATATGTACACTGCTATTGATCCAGAAGAACGTTTCTTCCTATTGGGCTCGAAAGGACAAACGATTATCCAACGGCGATCCACCTGCTGCTCGACGATCATCCGTCGAACCGATTCGCGAAATAAGAACAAAAGTATTTCCAATATTTAATTGCATATCCTAAACCGTAAAACCTGTAATGGTGTTGGAAAAATGACCGTGGATCGAAGAAGGAGGAAGGCAGATCGAAACGATAATTTCTGTGCGCTCTCAGCAATGAATATCCTCGTCAGTGAACCAGTTCGAGCGATAACATCGATTCGGATTAAACGCAGATTGGGTTACCAGCTAATCGCAGCTTAATAAATTACGTCTTAACTAATACCGCGAAGACAACATCGATTTGTCCTCGGGTATCTATCGCATTCACATAATTCTCTTAACGCATTTCATATTTTCCTGTTCTTGCACCGTCAAACGACGACTTGCTACCACCTAGCGGCCATCTTGTTCACTACGAACTGACGGTAACTCCAATAATACAGACTTAACGCTAGTACAACCGAGTAGTTGAACTGATTTTTAAACATTCTTATATAGAAACCATAGAAGTGGGTTGATTAAGATGTCAGTTAAGTTGTATTTTAATTTGTATATTAACAAATCAACTATTTTAATCATTTCTTGAAGAAGCATTCACATGCTTTCAATTATTATGAAAGAATAAGCGAGGAATGAGTCATTTTGACCCAGCTGGTAGTTCTAGTGTTAGGGATATTAATTTCTGGTTAATCATTCTTTGATAACTGATTGGTACACAACGTATTCAAAAATTATTTTGTAATCTAATTTATAATCATAATTGGAAACTGAATGAAATCTACCGCTGGTTTTACTATAATAAATATGAATACGATATAGTTCATGGCGAGGCAAGGATTGTAACACTAGAAAATGCAGAAATTATTATTTAAACGAGAAAATGTAGTCATTAAAAGGAACGTTAAATATGGTCAACAAATTAACTCGTTTCTCCAATGATTAATCGTTAGAAAACGGAAACGAGCAGTTCCAGACCACGTTACGTTTCGTTTTTAAAGAGAATTTTTTTTAAGACCATCACACGCGCTGCGTAATAGACATCAAGTAGTGTCAAGTGCGCACGTGCAGCTGGATTCGCGCCAAGTGTGCTACGCGCGAGCGATTTGCCACCTCTTAGTGCGTAGAGCGCTCCTGATCAATTAATATTATCAATATCCTCGTGTAAATTGGATAGAACTGCGTAAATATAAACAGTCTGACGGGATTTAGAAACGTGCAATAATGAAGATTGATTATAGCAGCGAAAATTGTTATTAGAACATTATTACTACGAAATTAATGTATGCTGAATGATGAATGGGTCCATCTAGCTAGACCTAGGTACAGGAAACTTATGAACCATCGATGTGTCTGGATCAAACAACGATTAACACGTTGACTGCCATGGTGGTCACCGGTGACCAGAGCTTCCAAATTGTTTGAAAACAATTACAATAAAATTTACATACAATTACAAAAAATTACACTAGATAATAGTGTAATATGAGCACTGTAATACCAAAACATTAATAATTATTCCTAATACTATCTTCCTGTATTATAAAGGAATAAATCTTACTACAACGAAACGCTCGAAATTCTCGTAGCAGTCAACGTGCTAGCCCCTTGGCTTATGATTTCTTTCTCAACTCTGATCGATACGGCTACTTTGTCATTAATAATTTATTGGAAAAAGAGAAAAATTCTAAGCATATGTTATGCCTATATTTCCTTTTATGTATAATAGTTGATTACAGAAGAACAATATTTACTTTGAATTCGAATGAACTGAGTAATATATATATATATATATTTGTTGAATCATGTTGAAAATCTTCAGCGCGAGTCTCGCTCGTTGTAGGACAAGGGGTTAAACGTAAAAATACTATAGTTATCTGAAGCTTATAATCTTAATCACATTTAGATAGAATGCGAAGAGAGGCAACAGTCGCAAAAGTTTAATTTGTTTGATATTGCACAACCGAATCGAAGAATCTATTGCATTTATGTATGTCACGTATCAATGTCAAATCAAGTCATCATAAATCGCCGATAAACTTCGCATAGTCTGACGTAGCATCATTTCTACGATAATGTCTCATGAATTATTTAACGAATGCAATAGAAGATATGACATATCAACTATTACTTTTCCGACGTTCAGCAACTTATTTCTGGCCTCACAGTTCAGTGTCGCCGCGCGTATTCCACAAAGGGAACTAATTGTTCACTGTCATGTTCTGTTAAGATGGTAACTGCTATTTTATACAAATTTCGCGAAGCATACAGGAATTAAAAATATCCACAAATTGAAATCGTCCATAATTGAACATCCATTGAAATGTAGATAAATTCACTAGAAAATATTCTCTTGTACAAAACTCTGTCGGTAACTATTGAAACCTAGACTACTCCGTAGATAACTTTTATTAAAACAAAATATTTACAACTTCTCGACTACGATTTTCTAATGTATTTTACTATGCAATATTTACATATAAATACATTTCAACGCCGGAAACAGGATCTCGTTATATTCATTTTTCTTTACAAACAGCTTGAACCGAGGACACTTAGATTGTAGGTTATGCCTAGCTTCATCATCGATACAAAAGATCAGGCAAACACCAATTTCTCGTATTGTACGCAACTGTTTCAAAAGAAAGACATAGATGCAAATGAGACGGTCAACTAACGATAAATTACGATCCAAGGTTGTGTTCTGTATAATGACTTTATTGTCTTGCCGAGCGTGTCTCTTGCTCCCGCGCGATAACTTCGAGTACAATCGCTGTTCATGTTTCGCAACCTCGACTGTGACATCTTACTAGACCCGACTATACCGCGGACGCGTATTCAGGGGAGCACGATCTTCTCGGATCGTTTTTTCTCCAAGATTTTCTACTGCGAAAATCACGAACGTCGCGATCACGTGACCAGCGTGTGAAAAGGATGCAGCTTGATGCGCGCGTCACCTTCTCAGCCGCGATTGTCAGCACAGTGCACTTTCGTTGAATGCATTGCATCGAGAATCGAAGCATTTCACATGAATAAAAGTTTCGAAAATACATTTAATATTATTATTATCGTCAACGGCAGTTGCATGGCAACGATAAAAATATGTACTATTAATAAATAACACATTGATTAAAATTTCATTTTCTTCGCATTCTGACTTACCGATCATTCGGTTAAAATGGACAGAAGAAAACATACGATACTATTGCTCAAGATATCCCGGTGCACTGTCACGGACATAACTTATTATCGGTAAGATAAAAATTAATCGCTCTGGATTATGTACTGAAGCACATAAAAGTGCGAGGTGAATTTATTACTGATGCTAATAGGTTCGTTATCGCTGACTATTGAGTCCCATCGTTTACCGACTATTTTCTCGCGCCATTTCCTTAAAATTATAGTAATTTTACTTATGCAACTACGATACTCAGTTGAACGTGATATCGACAATTATAGCCACATGACTTTCTATGATCGATACAGTCTTTCGCAGATAAGACATTAACGTTGTAGAATCCTCAGGATTTCCCAGTATCTCTATCCGCTCATTTTACTTACTCATTATGTTCTCTTTATAAATTTAATGCGAGAAATGTGAGAAAAGTATCACACGAATATTATATCCCACTTTATTAACATTAGAACTATTTAAACCGTCCTTTTAAAATTTCTTTGTAAATGCTAAAAGCGTGAATTCGTTAAGATTTCAATTGATTTATATTTCAGTTTCGGTATTACTAAATCAAATTCATTAATCATTAGTTAAAGAAGTGTCTGTGCCTTTGTAATAATGATAAAAGAAGAAATTAGGAATTGGTCATTTTGAGCCAGCTGGTAGTTCTAGTGTTAAAATAAATGATTTAGTACGGTGAGAAGATATCTTCCTAAGGCGTTCGCATCGGTTGGTCACTTATCGACCAGTCGCACGCGTCGATAATCATCCGACTTGCACCCCCAATCGAATTGAACAACCTTAATTGTCAATTTGTCGCGAGGAGAAAAGCTGTCGGTACGTTGCACAATTGTAGCAGAGTCACGTGACCGGTTGCAGCGTAACAACGTTATCGGCACGGTCAAAACGCCAATGGCAGGGATTCCCTGCGGTGAACGCGCGGATGAAAGGCTACGCAGACATTTGTTAGCCCAGGTTATGCTCTCGGTCGGCGGCTGAGCCGTCGGGGTTAAAACTGGGCGAACGTCGCGAAAATCA